TATAAAACAAATATGGCTTCAATGTCAGTCGCATGACTCGAATAGTAATACCATAAAAGCAGTGGTATCCACAAGACTCAACTACTTCCCATTTAAGAGCACATTGATAATTGAATCCTCTCCAAAGGTTTGCTCCTCTTCCATTTCAAGAAATAGTATCAATTAATTGTTAATAGTGGTGCATCTTTAACTTAATATAAAAAGATACATTTTGGAGCAGCATTATTAATCTTTAAAATATGTACTTAATAACGTTATCATATTTTGGCAACATAACAACTTTTTTTAAATGTGTGTAATACCTATATTTTTTTAAATACAAATAATTTACAAAAGTGGCTTTCTTATGCCCACTATACCATTGTTTACATGTGTAAATCAATATATTTTTTTAGACAATAAGCATTTTTATATGTATTATAACATACTCATACATAATACAACCTCACAAACCATTTGCGAAATTATAATCAATCTAATAAATTGTGGAAGATAACACATAATCACATAAAGCAACAAAAATAATACCAAGAAAAAATATTTGAATAAAACTGACATCTTTGACTATGCACACTCACATATTCCTGAATATGCAGTTAGTACAGTATAATATCAATATCGTGGAAGATGTTACAATTTCGAAGACAAATTGTTAGACAATTTCAATAAAAAGAAAAAAGCCTTAAAAGATATATATTCTTAAGGAAATTGTTCACTTTTTCCTCAAGACGGATATTAAAAATATCCTTAAATAAATACTAATTAAACCAGGTATAAACTCAATTATATTTAAGCAAATGAAAGAACAACGCTTGAGCATGGCAGAGTGCTTGTGCTTCTTAATGCTTGATGAGATGCTAGTGTTCTCCTCATTACATTACAATGCAAATGTCATAGGTTTTGAAGACTGAGGATGTTAAGAGTGAAAATATGACCATGAACATGTTTTGGTTTGATAATAAAGGAGATAAAGTTCATATTAAGCTATCAACTTGTTATAGATAATGCAAAAATGATGCTCTGGCAGTAATCAAAAAAAGTATATATAATTAGAAATGAAACGGATATCCGGTAACTATCCGGTATTCGGCTTATCCGGCCTAAAATTACTATCCGGCCGGATACCGGATAACAAACAGCTATCCGACCGGATACCGGATTAAAAAAAACACAAAATATCAAATTTAGTTAAATACTTCATTTATGTCACTTAACAAATATAGTCAGTACACAAAATTTACATTTTAAGGCTTACAAAATTAATACTCATAGGTACTGCGCTAAGGCACGGAATAAATAATAGTACTACGTAGCTAAGGGCAAATTATGATGAATAAATACTAATTTCTCTGCATTGAAAGGTACCTCCAATAAAAGAATCAAACAGTTGATCAAACAGGAGAAGTATATCTGCCATATCTTTACACTCTTGAGGTAGCAACTTATTTTCTGCAAAGAAATAAAATGTTATGAGCACTTTTTAAATAAGAAGCAATAAAATATTTGATACAAGAGGGAATACAAGTAAATATGCGATAAAGAGATATCTTACAAAAATTATTTGAACATTGAATATTATTTAACAAAGTATATATACATTTGTACTTGCACAAAATCGTAAAGCTTAAATTTTTTCTGCTGCTGTTACTTGACTTTTTTGGTCTTATATTTTGTTTTTTAAAATCATTATTTTGTTTAACACTTTCTTTATTTTTTATCTGTACATCTTCATTTAATCAATGTATCTGAAAAAAGTACGACAAACAGGTAAGCATATAGAGATCAGAAGAAATAATGACAGCATAGACCAGATTGTAATGGAATCTCTTTTTTAATGGAGGATTTTTAATTGCAACTTCTGCCTTATAATGATATAATATATATTATGCAATATGCTATTAGAATGCTTTTGGAGCTGGCGCGGTGCTGCTGTGTGCACAGTGCAAAAAAGTAGCATTCCTACTGCATGGCTTGCGGACCAATGATAACAAAATTTTGAAGTTATATCTGCAAGAGTTTTGAGTCAGGAGTGCTTCATCTCAGAGTTCTAGTTATTTCAGATGCAGCAAAAGCAAGGTAGCCTTTTTACTTGTTTCAGTTATAAAAAGATTCTCAGCATATTAAATCTTAATGTCGCACTGTTATTATTATAGTAAATTCCAGCCTTGAATATTGACTGCCTCGTTGGTCTAGTAGTTGTATTGGATCGACTACAGATCATGAGGTATTGGGTTAGAATCCCGGGTCGGGTGAAAAAATTAATTATTGAGTTTTTACGTCAATAAATTATCAATAACTGCCCGGAGTCAGGAAGTTTGCGGTATATCACCCCCGTGCTTCGGAAGGCACGTAAAGCCGTTGGTCCTGCGCCTGATCTCTCTCCGATCGTGTCGGTTTACGTCCCATCGGAATACGAGAGTGATGGAATAGAGAGTGTACTTGTGCTTGCGCATACACTCGGGCGCTATAATCCTGTTCTGCGCCGATGGCTAGTCTCCGTTGAAATTAGGTCTGGAGGACATTATTATTATTGAATTCCAGCCACTATATCTTTAACTTATCGCACACTTACTGGTATAGTAATAGAATATAGTTACAGTAATTAAGAATTTATTAATATTATACTACCACCAGAGAATTTCCGGAACCGATACAACTTGGGACTTTCAAGAAATGAGCCTATTCTTTTTTTTTTAATGGCTGGCAATGCGTATGTCCTTAGTGTTGTGGTCTTTCATGGGCGGCGGTAGTCACTGACCAGCAGGTGAGCCGCATGCTCGTTTCCACGCCCCCTCTTCGTTAAAAAAAATAAATTAAATACCTCTTATACGATTATCGTGTGAACTTGTAGTAGAAATTTGTGAAGAAAGTACATCCGGTATAAGTGATGTGGGTTCAATTCCTAATGTTTCAGCATGTAAACCTGTAAAGGTAGTGAGTATATGAGTAACACATAAAACTCGCTTGTTTTATTCAGTGCTACATACCATATATTATAATTACTAGCTTTTTACCCACAGCTTCGCTCGCGTGGAGTTTAATTAAATTTAAATGCCTTGGTGTGTATTCAACTTTGAAGTTATAATGAACACTAGGCCAATTGTTGAAAATCACACTTAAATATAGTAGTTCCACTTGAATTTTTGCTTGAACACCACTTGAGTTCGATTTCCTGAAAACGCGAATGTATTTTATGTTCGTTTTTCACTTTTTCACTCGTAATTTAAAAAAAATCTGCAGAGCTCACTTTTGTACGTGTTTACACTTTCGTAACCGGAACCGGAAATCTACATCTACAAATCTATATCTACATAATTATGTAGGCGTGATTAATATCTATAATTATGCCAAATTACACATTTGTAGGACCTAGAATCTCTGAGTAAAACCGCAGACGGACGAACACGGCGAAACTATAAGGGTTCCTTGTTGTGTAACTACGGAACCCTAAGAAATCAAAATATTATTTATCTTTAAGTTAAAAGTGAATAAACTTTTATTGTTAAGCCAGTGTGCTTTATAATCTAGGGCTTACAGCTAAATGAATTGCTATTAAACATGACAGTGAGAAAGCTTTTAATTAAGACTTATCAAGGTAAGACTGGGTTAAACTGTTTTTGCAAGTCTTTTGGTTAGAGGATATAGAAAACGATCCTCAAAGAGCCGATCACAAATGCGGTAGTTATTGTAAATTTCACAATCGGTTTTATCTTTTAAATTTATTCTAGCTATCCTCTTCCATTGCTGAAACCTTTCTAGTGAAGGGTATTCCGGTCTAGGAAAGTAGTGTAAAATATCTGAAATCTCTTAGGCAAAACCCACTTACAGCCCTTTGCAGTTTATTTAAATAATTTGTTGTAATTTTTTCTTTGAAGTAAATATAATAATAATAATAATAAATTCATGCTCGAAAATGACCGCGCCAAGCTCTACTGGGACCGGGCCATCATCACAGACAGGACTATTCTTGCGAATAAGCCTGATATTGTGGTGATGGACCGGGCACAATCAAGGATATTTTTGATCGACATTACCATTCCGTATGACGAGAACCTCGTGAAAGCCGAAACAGAGAAACGAACAAAATATCTGGACCTGGCTCACGAGGTGACCGACATGTGGGATGGTCTGCCGACCGAAATTATTCCTGTAGTCGTCTGCGAATGGACTAATCCCAGTCAGCCTCTCGGGTCATCTGAGGCGACTGGGACTCCGTGACAGACCGCTCCGGGCTCAAATGCAGAAGGCGGTGCTCCTCGATACCGCCTGCATCGTCCGCCGGTTTCTTTCCCTTTCCCCCTAACCCTTGGCCGTTTGGTCTCCCCTGCCGAGGGCTCCCATCTGGTTGGATCTTATTTATTTATGTAGTTTTTATGTTTATTTTATTTTATTGATATTTATGTATATTTATCTTTTCATTTTAATTTATAATTATATATTTATAGAACCCAACCAGGTGAGAAAATTATATAGATACCCCAATAATAATAATAATAATAATAATAATAAGGCGTAGGGAAGTGACGACCCCATCGCCCGCTGACGTAACGGTTATGTGACAAAACCGCTACGTCAGCGCAGTCAGTCAGCACCTTGCCAAGAGGTGTTAGTGCCGTGCCTCGGCAAAAATTGAAGGTGCAAAGGCCCGCTTGTGCACATGGCCTCACCATGAAACGGCGCCGGGTCTGGGCGTCTCCCGCTAAATGACGCCCACCACTATGGATGATGAAATACGGAAGAACGCGCAAAGGGCCGCTGCCTGGAGGTCGCCAGGGCGCGTCTGGAGCTGGCGCTGGACGCGGCAGCATGCGAACCCCTCGCATCCATCATCCCCACCAGCTGGCTTGGTGTCGGCAGGGTCTTCGCGGGCCCAGCAATCGGCACCCGCCTCTGGTGGAGTACGCCGCATGCGTTGGACAACCCAGATGAACAGCAACGCATTGCGGGCGTATTTTGGGGCGAAAGGGGGAGAAACTGGATGTTTGGCGTATCGGGCTAGGATGCATCGTCTATTTGCTGAGCTGGAGCCATCTTTAACCGTCACAGAGCAAAACCTGGCAGACCGAGTTCGGTATATCTTGCGCTCAAATATATTTGATGTCGCCGAACTCGAACGGCTACGACGTGAGGCTGTTCCCTCGTCGGATGAGAATGCTACGGCTGAGGATGCGGCGCCACAAATGGTAGAGCAACCCGCAAACGTGGATGCCGCCGTGAATACCCCAGTTGTGGTTGATTCAAACGATGATGTAACAGTCGCCCAGGAACTGGAATTAGAGCATATGAGGAGTACATTGGAAGAGGCGATTGTGGAAACGTGCAGTACGCCTCTCGAAAATCGACCGCGACTTCCCCGCATAGCCCTAAGCAAGCGGAATCGGGCTGTCGTGAGGGCTCTGAACCCAATGCTGGTGACCTATTTGGAAGCCAGCCGGGACCTTTGCGAGACGGACTCAATTCTTTTTGGCGCCGCGCTGGCAGTCTGCCGTATCATAAGCGCCAAGGTTTCCACGGCTGGACGCGCTACTGGCCATAGTAGCGCTATCCCAGCATGGAGAAGAAGAATTGAGGAACGTATCGCAAAGGCTAGAGCTCTCATCGGCAGACTGATATGCTTCAGATCAGGCAACAACAGGCCAAGAATTGTGGGCACCGTCAGGATGGCGTTTGCTGGGACAAATGTCAGTTTGTCCCAGCCGGATATAACGCAAAAACTGACGGAGCGCATAGATGATCTGAAGCAGAGGATCGCTGCTTGGGGAAAGCGGATTCGGCGATATACCGAGAGGTCGACACGGTTCAACCAGAATAGTCTCTTCCAGAGTGATCAGAAGAGGCTCTATGAATCATTGGAGCGACCAATGGTAAGTGGAACGGGTCCAGCACCGAATCAGGCCGACACTGTAGAATTCTGGCGCGGCCTGTGGTCAGAGCCCGTAAACCACAGCGAGGGCCCTTGGACGGAAGTTGTGGCGAGTCAGTGTGCGGGTATTACGCCCATGGACCCCGTCATCATAACGCCGGATGACGTAGCTGAGGCGGTCCGTAGGGCCCCGAACTGGAAAAGTCCGGGGCTTGACGGGCTGCATCACTACTGGCTGAAGGGGTTCATGGTGTGTCACTCTGTGCTTGCCCGACAGTTTCAAGAGGCTCTCAACCAGAAGTCGCTCCCAAGCCTCTTCACTACTGGGATCACTCATTTGGTTCCTAAAGACCAGGGTACCACAGACCCGAGCAAATACCGCCCCATCACGTGTCTACCGACCATATACAAGACACTAACAACATCCATTTTGAGCGCGAGAATCACTTGTCCCCTGGACTCAAATCAGGTGATGTCGCGCGCTCAAAATGGATGTCGGGGCGGTGGTCGTGGAACCAAGGAACCACTCCTCATTGACGCGGTCATTGGCAAAGTGGTGAAACGCAACCGTCGGAACACCTCCGCCGCCTGGATAGACTACAGAAAGGCATTCGACTCGGTACCCCATACATGGCTAAAGAGAGTCCTCGAGCTGTACAAGATAGACTGTACAGTTAGAGACTTCCTTGAGCAGTGTATGGGGCAGTGGAGTACGATCCTTTGTCATCTGGGCGAGCGGATGATGGCTGCGGAGAACCACATAAGGATAAGAAGGGGTATCTTCCAGGGCGATTGTCTGAGTCCAATCTGGTTCTGCCTCTCTCTGAACCCTCTCAGTACCTTACTGGAGGGCTCCGGGAGGGGATTTCAGCTACGGAGAGGAGGGACAAAAGTGACCCACCTTTTTTATATGGATGACCTCAAGTTATTCGCCTCCAGTCGCTCCCATCTTATGGAATTGCTAAACATCACTTGTGAATTTAGCAATTCCATTGGAATGGAGCTTGGGACGGATAAGTGTGCGGTTCTCCATGTTGAAAGGGGAAGGGTTGCTAACTCTGAGGGCGTAGACTTATCTATGCCCGTCAACTTAAGGACCCTTTCCGAGGCTGAAACATACCGATACCTGGGTATGTCACAAAACATCGGTATCGATGAGACTGGTATGAAACAGTCAGTTTGCGACGTGTTTTATGCACGCTTGACCAAAGTGCTTAACAGCCTTTTTGTCCGGTGTGAATAAGGCACACGCATATAACGGCTGGGTCATGCCTGTCCTCATGTATACCTTTGGCATACTCAGGTGGACTCAGACTGAACTTAACGCCCTGGATAGAAAAGTCCGCACTACCATGACGTCCCATAGGATGCATCATCCGAGATCGTCGGTAATGAGGCTGTACTTGCCGCGAAAGCATGGTGGGCGTGGATTTCTGAGCGCGCTCACCATGCATAATCGCGAAGTGTGCAGCCTCCGTGATTACTTCCTGGCGAGATCGGATGATCCATTCTATATGGACGTCATTTCTTGTGATAAAGGACTTACCCCTCTATCCTTAGCCAACGAGCAATGGCAAGACCCGGCAGTGCAGAGCATTTCCGACCGAGAGACCGTATGGAAGGAGAAGGAGCTCCACGGGAGGTTCTACAAGGCTCTACATGAGCCTTTCGTAGACACAGTACACTCCCTCCACTGGCTACGCTTTGGTGATCTCTTCGGGGGAAACCGAGGGTTTTGTCTGTGCAATACAGGATCAGGTTATTAAGACCAACAACTATCGGAGATACATCCTAAAGGATGGCACCGTCGACATCTGTCGAGCTTGTCGCCATCCCGGTGAGTCACTTAGACATGTTATCTCCGGTTGTTCGGCGCTTTCTAACTCTGAGTACTTGCACAGGCACAACCTAGTAGCCAGAATTCTACACCAGGAGCTCGCTCTGAAATACGGTCTCGTGGACCGGAAATTGCCGTACTACAAGTACTTGCCGGAAGCCGTGCTCGAAAATGATCGCGCCAGGCTCTATTGGGACCGGGCCATCATCACAGACAGGACTATTCTTGCGAATAAGCCTGATATTGTGCTGATGGACCGGGCACAGTCAAGGATATTTTTGGTCGACATTACCATTCCGTATGACGAGAACCTCGTGAAAGCCGAAACAGACAAGAAAACAAAATATCTGGACCTGGCTCACGAGGTGACCGACATGTGGGGTGGTCTGCCGACCGAAATTATTCCTGTAGTCGTCTCTGCAAACGGGCTAATCCCAGTCAGCCTCTCGGGTCATCTGAGGCGGCTGGGACTACGTGGCGGACCGCTCCAGGTTCAAATGCAGAAGGCGGTGCTCCTCGATACCGCCCGCATCGTCCGCCGGTTTCTTTCCCCCTTTCCCCCTAACCCTCGGCCGTTTGGTCTCCCTGCCGAGGGCCTCCATCTGGTTGGGCTTTTATTTATTTATGTACTTTTATATTTATTTTATGTTATTGATATTTATGTATATTTATTTTTTCATTTTCATTTATAATTATATATTTATAGAACCCAACCAGATGAGAAAACTATATAGATACCCCATAATAATAATAATAATAAATAGGCGTAGGGAAGTGACGACCCCATCGCCCGCTGACGTAACGGTTATGTGACAAAACCGCTACGTCAGCGCGGTCAGTCAGCACCTTGCCAAGAGGTGTTAGTGCCGTGCCTCGGCAAAAATTGAAGGTGCAAAGGCCCGCTTGTGCACATGGCCTCAACACGAAACGGCGCCGGGTCTGGGCGTCTCCCGCTAAATGACGCCCTAAAAATGGATGATGGAATTAAATAGAAGGCGCAAAGGGCCGCTGCCTGGAGGTCGCCAGGGCGCGTCTGGAGTTGGCGCTGGACGCGGCAGCATGCGAACCGCCAGCCGAGCGCGAGGTGCTGCACGACCACCCAGCAGCCCCTCGCATCCATCATCCCCACCAGCTGGCTTGGTGTCGGCAGGGTCTTCGCGGGCCCAGCAATCGGCACCCGCCTCTGGTGGAGTACGCCGCATGCGTTGGACAACCCAGATGAACAGCAACGCATTGCGGGCGTATTTTAGGGCGAAAGGGGGAGAAACTGGATGTTTGGCGTATCGGGCTAGGATGCATCGTCTTTTTGCTGAGCTGGAGCCATCCTTAACCGTCACAGAGCAAAACCTGGCAGACCGAGTTCGGTATATCTTGCGCTCAAATATATTTGATGTCGCCGAACTCGAACGGCTACGACGTGAGGCTGTTCCCTCGTCGGATGAGAATGCTACGGCTGAGGATGCGGCGCCAAAAATGGTAGAGCAACCCGCAAACGTGGATGCCGCCGTTAATACCCCAGTTGTGGTTGATTCAAGCGATGATGGAACAGTCACCCAGGAACTGGAATTAGAGCATATGAGGAGTACATTGTGTAACGCTTCCCCCCCTCTCTCATAATAATAATTATATTAGATATAATTAATTTACCCCTTTTCGATAAAAATTATATATATATGTGACCAAGATAATTAAGATATGTTTTGATCTTTCTAAATGATCTTTCTAAAAAGGTTTATTAATAGGCCGTTTTTAATATTTTGGCGTGATCGTCGTAGTTAGGACCCTTATTTACGTTGTGTTTGTTTAGTAACTTAGTTCTTTTAGGTGTCTTTTGGAAGAATGAATATTCACTAGAGCAATTGAAAGCTGTTGGTAGTGCCTTATAAGCTAAGTGAACCCCGTTCACGAAGACAGGGCTCGAAAAAGGTTAAGAACATAAAACGTCTTTATTCCACTTGTATCAGGTTGACATTATTAATTTATTATTATTTATCCCTTCCCGCTTGGAAAAGGCTCACAATATATTTATACAAAAAATACCCGATACAAGGGCTTCGCTCTCCTACATTTATTTAAAAAAAATGTAGGGGGAGGTACACGGCCCCACACACGCCGTGCACGGTGAGTGCCAACCATTTTGATGCACTCCCCCCGAAGGGAAAGCTAATTCGGGAACTGGACCGTAGTCCACAGCAAAATAACTGGCGAACCAGTAAAAGAGGCTTGGCCCCTTGCTAGTGCGTAAGCACAAACATCGACCGAAGTCGCGCATGTCAATGCGTGTAAACGCCAAACAGAATACGAACGAATCCAGCCACAGTGAATGTACGTCACACGGTTTAGGCTAATAGGCACACTGGCCGTAAACCCTCCGTGAGCGCCACCACCTGCCAGACCGCCGCTCCTGCAGACGTGATGTAAGTGTATGTCATCACCACCAGTTGCATGATCATCACGGCTACTAGCCGCAGAGCGTTTCATGAGTCTATCGCTCACCTCAAGGGAATGGGGTCCCACGTTGTGCGGCTTTCGGCCGCAGCCTTGAGAGTCTCCTCAGATCCTCCCGCCAGCTACCACCCGCATGAGGTCGACACATATGCTCCACCAACCAATACAACGGCAGATATAGCCAAAAGGCAGTTATAAGATAAGAGTAATAATTCGCCATCAGAAAGGGTTTGTGTCACTGACGTTGAGTAAATGCATTTTCGATCATGTTTGTCTCACCCACCAACAAGTTGCCTTCAATCATTCAAAGGTGGGAAAGTTACAGAGATATAATATTACGTTGTTATATAAAACATCGTGGAGGGCAGACAGTCTGCAGCCCCGCAATGAAGGGACCCGACTTGGGCAAAGCTACTTAGGTGTGAGTCAAACCAAGACGCAGAGAGCGCCATTGAGAATAGCGTCCCACCAAACAACCATCGCAGAGACGCAATGCTGCAGAACGCAACAAGCATCAATACGACTATCGTCGGGCTTACACCATTCCAAGGTCCCCCCATACATCCCAGCAGACATCACCACCCGTATACCTCCATCGACCAGAACCACAAGAGAGCGTCGAATCAGGCGCAGCACACCCGCAGATCCATCACAAGACGCACTACCGCAAGTAGCAGTAAGCATCAATGCAACTATCATACGGATGGCGCCCCCTCACAACACACCCAACATGATCCCTATCGACTTTGGTAACAAAGTTGGTATTGTTGTTACATAAAAAATTTCACCAACGTATCATAGTAGCACGCTACTAAGACGCCAATGAACTAAACTCCACGTATCATAGCGCTAATGCACTAAGACATGAAGTTGAGTATGCCTGTTACACTTAAAAGTGCTACCAAACACACTCATCATCCCAATCCGAAAGATAGACGACACATCGCTATGCGCAACGACGTCGCCCACAAACGGTATGGGTGTGCGATGTCCACGGGAAAGCCGTATTGCTACAACAAACCCGCTTACCACCGGCACTAAGAGGTTAATTGTATACCTCCATCGACCAGAACCACAGGAATGCGTCGAATCAGGCGCAGCACACCCGCAGATCCATCACAAGACGCAATACCGCAAGTAGCAGTAAGCATCAATGCAACTATCATACGGGTGGCGCCCCCTCACAACACACCCACACGATCCCTATCGACTTTGGTAACAAAGTTTGTATTGTTGTTATATAAAAAATATCACCAACGTATCATAGTAGCACGCTACTAAGACGCCAGTGGACAAAACTCCACGTATCATAGCGCTAATGCACTAAGACATGAAGTTGTGTATGCCTGTTACACTTAAAAGTGCTACCAAACACACTCATCCCAATCCGAAATATAGACGACACATCGCTATGCGCAACGACGTCGCCCACAAACGGTATGGGTGTGCGATGTCCACGGGAAAGCCGTATTGCTACAACAAACCCGCTTACCACCCTAACCCTTGGCCGTTTGGTCTCCCCTGCCGAGGGCTTCCATCTGGTTGGGCTTTTATTTATTTATGTATTTTTGTATTTATTTTATTTTATTGATATTTATGTATATTTATCATTTCATTTTCGTTTACAATTATATATTTATACATCCCAACCAGATGAGAAAACTATATAGATACCCCACACATAATAATAATAATAAGCCACTTACAAGTCTAACCCCACGTCCGAGCTTAACACCTACGCTCACGTGAGTGGCGGACACCCGCAACGAAGGTACTTTGTGAGTGACCAACGGGGCTCTAGCACACCCATCAATATGGAGTTGCGAAATAGAAGTATTAGTAAAGGACCGCTTCCCGAGGGCAATCGTCGGGGCACGCCTGGAGCCGGTGCTGGGCGTTTCAGTATGCGAACCACCGGTGGCGAGAGTTTACCTGGACGGCCCTCTGCCGGGTCTCCCGAACAATGCGAGTTCAGCGCATCATCAGCACTAACACCGTCTGATGAATACAAGTGCGATAGTAAAGCAGTCTCTCCGGCCTCGGATGTTTCACGGGCGGCAAGGGCACCTCAACCTGTGACCACCAAAGCTGGCAAACCTAGAGTGCGCATGAAATGGAATGAAGAAATAAATACTTTCATTATGCGCACTTACTTTTACATTACCAAATTAGAAACCGATCGCACTATGTACGTTAAGAAATTATTTGATCAATTTCAGTTAAAATATCCTCATATAAATGTCACATCTCAACGTATTGCAGACCAGAGACGAGTAATAATAAGAAATAAATTGTTATCTGATGAACAAATCAAAAGTATAAAGCAACAAGCAGCTAAAATAATTGAAAACGAGAAAGCTGAGAATAATATTTCGGACTCACGTTCAGATACAAGAGACACCAATCATATGACGGCGGGTAATTCAAATCTCGACCTTTTTTAGCCGTCGTCAGTCATCTCCGCCCTCTTCCTTATTCGAAACTCAATCAATTACTTTAACATCCGATTCTGCAACACAAACTCTATCAATGAGTTGCACGGCTCAAACTAGTATTTTAAGTGTTTCACACCCAGCTGAAATAAATCTCCCAGATGATGGTTTAATACAGAAATTAACCAACGAACTGAAGTCTAATCTAGAATTGTATACTGGTACGGACCCCAACATAAGACCCAAACTGCCGCGATTGAAAGAAAATAAGCAGCTATATAGTTTACTTAACATTTTTAATAGTCATATACTACCCAAATTCTATAGTATTGATTCTGAGATACTACATATTCATACCCTCATATATTGTTCAGCTTTAGTTATCAAAACTATTAGGATATAAAATTTCAAACGACCCCTTAAAAAAGCGAAATTCATTTAACAATAAACCGGCTTGGCAAATAAGATTAGAAATAGATATATCTATCCTGCGCGCTGATGTGGCTAGATTAACACAATTTATTAACAATAATAGACATCCTCGATTAGTTAAGAAAATTGATTTAATATTTGATAAATATAAAGTTCATTCAACTTATGATAAAAATAATATTAGACCAGCTGAATTTTTAGACACTCTAAAACAAAAAACTTGGACTTAAAACCCAAAGACTAGCCAGATACAAAAAAGCCCTACAGAGAAAAGAAGACAATAGGCTTTTTCAGACTAATGAAAAAGGATTTTATAGGATGCTCAAACATAATATAAGTAATGTATCCAATGAACCCAAGGAAGTACCAACTGAAGAAGAACTTAAAAACTACTGGACTGAAATATGGAAGAAAAATAATGAACATAATGAGCAGGCAAGTTGGATGAATGAAGAAGAAAATAAAGCAGAAGCTATTGAATTGATGGAATTCACAGAAGTTACTAAATTAGATATTGAACATGTAACCAAAAAAATGAAAAACTGGAAAGCTACTGGACCCGATAATGTTCACAACTTTTGGTATAAAAAATTCTCGGCTCTCCACGATATTTTAGCGAAAATTATTACAGATATATTTAAAGGCGCATCAGAGATCTCATCATTTGTAACCGTAGGTACTACTTTCATGATTCCCAAAAGTGATAAAACAGCAGATCTCTCACAGTACCGACCGATTACGTGTCTCCCAACTATATACAAACTAATAACCTCTTGTATAACACTAAAAATAAATACGCATTTAACACATAATAAAGTATTAGCGGAGGAACAAAAAGGATCCAGACAGAATCACAGAGGATGCAAAGAACAACTCATTATCGACTCGATAGTAATTAAACACGCTACCTCTCACAACCGTAATCTTAATCTAACATATATTGATTATAAGAAAGCATTCGACAGTGTACCTTACTCTTGGCTGATACGAGTTTTGCAAATTTATAAAATCAACCCGGACATTATTTCTTTCCTGGAGAGAGTTATGGGTACTTGGAAAACTAAATTACACCTTAATGACGGCAATAAGACCATAGTCACAGACGATATACCAATCGCTAATGGCATTTTCCAGGGAGATTCATTGAGTCCACTGTGGTTTTGTCTGGCTCTTAACCCTTTATCTTCTTTACTCAACAAAAACAATCATGGATATAAATTAACTAAAGACACCTATGTTAATCATTTAATGTATATGGACGATATAAAACTTTTTACCAAATCAGAAAAAGAAATGAACGCCCTCATAAAAATTACAGCTGAGTTTAGTAAAGATATAAACATGACCTTTGGTTTTAATAAATGTAAAACGCTTAAACTTCATAAAGGTAGAGTCAATAGTAGTACAGAAAGTCAATACGATATGTTTACATTGATGTACGAAAATGATACATATAAATATCTAGGCTTGCGTGAAGGAAGATGTATAGACCATACTGCTATTAAAAAGGACCTTAGTAATGAATATTTACGTAGGTTGAATCTAGTTTGTAAAAAGCAACTTAATTCTGGAAATTTATTCAAAGCTATTAACAATTTTGCCATCCCAATACTTACCTATTCTTTCGGAGTAATTAAATGGTCAAATACAGATATACGAAATCTTGAAATCAAAACTAGGACTACCATAACTAAACACAAATATTTGCATCCTAAATCGGCAATTGAACGACTTACGATAAAAAGAGCTATAGGAGGCAGGAGTCTAATCGATCTTAAAAGGTTATGGGAAGGGCAAGTCAAAAACCTGCAATCTTTCTTTTATGAAAAATCAGCTAATAGTCCGTTACATCAAGCAGTCATTGAATCCGATAACAATTATACCCCTCTAAATCTAAGTAATCAAGGTAATAGATCTACTACAGTAATTGATCATGAAAAAGGAAAGCTATCAAAGTGGCGTAGTAAAGAATTACATGGTAGACATGCACACGATTTAGAACAACCTCACATAGACTTGCTGGCTTCAAATAAATGGTTAAAAATAGGTTCTCTTTTCCCCGAAACCGAAGGTTTTCTTATTGCCATTCAGGATCAAGTAATCAATACAAGAAACTATAAAAAATACATATTAAAAGACCCAAACATGCAGAACGATAGTTGTAGAAAATGCCACCGCCAACCCGAAACTATACAACATATTACCGGTGCTTGTCCCAGCCTAATACAAACTGATTACACCCACCGTCATAACCAGGTTGCTAATTACGTTCATCAAAAACTTGCAAATAAACACAATTTAATCCCGAACCAAAAACTACTGCCGTACTATCAGTATACCCCCCAAACCTGTTCTGGAGAGCGACAGTCACAGAATGTACTTTGATAGAGCTATTCTTACCGATAAAACAATTCATTACAATAGACCGTATATAACTTTAATTGATAAATTAAATAAAACAGTATATCTAATTGATATAGCGATCCCAAATACCCATAATATACAAAAAACCATTACTGAAAAAAAATCATAAATACACAGAATTAAAAGAAGAAGTCACTAGAATCTGGAAAATGAACAAAGTATATATTGAACCGCTGGTTCTCTCCAGTACTGGTGTGATCCCGAAATGTTTATCTCTCTCCCTTAAACGATTAGATCTTCCTGAAAATAGTTATATTACCATGCAAAAAGCAGCCATCCTCAACACGTGCCGTATAGTCCGAAAATCTCGGATTTTGATTCCCAAATGGATGCGCACTTGGCTTAGGCCCGTGAACATCTCTTAAAAACCAAGATTTTACAAAATCTTGAGAAAGAAAAAAAGAATAATAATAATAATAATAATAATAATAATAATTACCAACAACTATCGGAGATACATCCTAAAGGATGGCACCGTCGACATCTGTCGAGCTTGTCGCCATCCCGGTGAGTCACTTAGGCATGTTATCTCCGGTTGTTCGGCGCTTTCTAACTCTGAGTACTTGCACAGGCACAACCTAGTAGCCAGAATTCTACACCAGGAGCTCGCTCTGAAATACGGTCTCGTGGATCGGAAATTGCCGTATTACAAGTACTTGCCGGAAGCCGTGCTCGAAAATGATCGCGCCAGGCTCTATTGGGACCGGGCCATCATCACAGACAGGACTATTCTTGCGAATAAGCCTGATATTGTGCTGATGGACCGGGCACAGTCAAGGATATTTTTGGTCGACATTACCATTCCGTATGACGAGAACCTCGTGAAAGCCGAAACAGACAAGAAAACAAAATATCTGGACCTGGCTCACGAGGTGACCGACATGTGGGGTGGTCTGCCGACCGAAATTATTCCTGTAGTCGTCTCTGCAAACGGGCTAATCCCAGTCAGCCTCTCGGGTCATCTGAGGCGGCTGGGACTACGTGGCGGACCGCTCCAGGTTCAAATGCAGAAGGCGGTGCTCCTCGATACCGCCCGCATCGTCCGCCGGTTTCTTTCCCTTTCCCCCTAACCCTCGGCCGTTTGGTCTCCCCTGCCGAGGGCCTCCATCTGGTTGGGCTTTTACTTATTTATGTACTTTTATATTTATTTTATGTTATTGATATTTATGTATATTTATCTTTTCATTTTCATTTATAATTATATATTTATAGAACCCAACCGGATGAGAAAACTATATAGATACCCCATAATAATAATTAAAGATCGATTAGAATTCGATGATGCCGAACTCGAACGACTACGACGTGAGGCTATTCGTCTCCCTCAACTGGCTACGTTTCGGTGACCTCTTCGGGGAAACCGAGGGTTTTGTCTGTGCAATACAGGATCAGGTTATTAAGACCAACAACTATCGGAGATACATCCTAAAGGATGGCACCGTCGACGTCTGTCGAGCTTGTCGCCATCCCGGGGAGTCACTTAGGCATGTCATCTCCGGTTGTTCGGCGCTTTCTAACTCTGAGTACTTGCACAGGCACAACCTAGTAGCCAGAATTCTACACCAGGAGCTCGCTCTGAAATACGGTCTCGTGGACCGGAAATTGCCGTATTACAAGTACTTGCCGGAAGCCGTGCTCGAAAATGACCGCGCCAGACACTACTGGGACCGGGCCATCATCACGGACAGGACTATTCTTGCGAATAAGCCTGATATTGTGCTGATGTACCGGGCACAGTCAAGGATATTTTTGGTCGATATTACCATCCCGTATGACGAGAACCTCGTGAGAGCCGAAACAGATAAGCAATCAAAATATCTGGACCTGGCTCACGAGGTGACGGACATGTGGGGGTGGTCTGCCGGCCGAAATTATTCCTGTAGTCGTCTCTGCGAATGGGCAATAATTATATATTTATACACCCCAACCAGATGAGAAAACTATATAGATACCCCAAACATAATAATAATAAAAAGCGTAGGGAAGTGGCGACCCCATCGCCCGCTGACGTAACAGTTATGTGACAAAACTGTGACGTCGGCGCAGTCAGTCAGCATCCTGCCAAGAGGTGTGAGCGCCGTGCCTAGGCAAAATTGTAGATGCAATGGTCCGTTTGTGCATATGACCCAACCACGAAATGGTGCCGGGCTTGGGCGTCTCCCGTTATTTGGCGCCCATAAAATGGATGATGGACGAAACACAGAAAGGAACGCGCATAGGGCCGCTGCCTGGGGGGTCGCCGGGGCGCGTCTGGAGCTGGCGCTGGACGCGGCAGCATGCGGGCCGCCTGCCGAGCGCGAGGAGCTGCACGATTACCTAGCAGCCCCTCGCATGCATCATCCCCACCAGAAGGCTTGGTGTCGGCTGGGTCTTCTCAGACCCAGCAAGCGGCACCCGCCGCTGGTGGAGCACGTCGCATGCGTTGGACAAAATCCATGAACGAATACGCTTTGCGGGCGTACTATAGGGCGAAAGGGGAAGAAACTGTGGGAATAGCGTATAGGTCTCGGATGCATTGCTTTTTTGCTGAGCTGGAGCCGTCTATCCCCGTCACGGAACAAAACCTGGCAGACCGAGTTCGGTACATCATGCGCTCGAAAATATTTGATGATGCCGAACTCGTATGACTACGACGTGAGGCTATTCCGTCGTCGAATGAATCGGCTATGGCTGGAGATGCAGCTCCACATTCAACAGACCAGCATCCACACGTGGAAGCCGCCATGGATCTTCCAGTTGTGGTTGATTCGAACGACGATGAAATAGTCTCCCACGAACTAGAGCAAATGAGGAGTATATTGGAAGAGGCGATTTTGGAAACGCGCAGCACCCATCTAGAAAATCGACCGCGACTTCCCCGCATACCCCTAAGCAAGCGAAATCGGGCTGTCGTGAGGGCTCTTAACCCAATGCTGGTGACCTATTTGGAAGCCAGCCGGGACCTTTGCGAGACGGACTCGATTCTCTTTGGCGCCGCAGTGGCAGTTTGCCGTATTATTGGCGCCAAACTTCCCATGGCTGGACGCGCTACTACACAAAGTAGCGCCATCCCAGCCTGGAGAAAAAGAATCGAGGACCGTATCGCAAAGGCAAGGGCCCTTATCGGCAGACTGACAAGCTTCAGGTCGGGTAATAATAGACCGAGGATTATGCGCACCGTTAGGATGGCGTTTGCTGGGACAAATATCAGTTTGTCCCAGCCGGATATCACGCAGAAACTAACGGAGCGCATAGATGACCTGAAGCAAAAGATCGCTGCTTGGGGGAAGCGGATTCGACGATTTTCCGAGGGGTCAAGGTGGTTCAACCAGAATCGTCTCTTCCAGAGTGATCAGAAGAGGCTCTATAAATCATTGGAGCAACCAAAGGTATGTGGAGCGGGCCAAGGACCGGATCAGGTTGAGATTATCGCATTCTGGCGTGGCCTGTGGTCAGAGCCCGTAAACCACAGCAAGGGCCCTTGGATGGAAGTTGTGGCGAGCCAGGGTGCGAGTGTTACGCCTATGGACCCCATCACCATAACGCCAGAAGACGTGGCTGAGGCGGTCCGTAGGGCCCCGAACTGGAAAAGTCCGGGGCTCGACGGGCTGCATCATTACTGGCTGAAGGGGTTCATAGTGTGTCACGCTGTGCTCGCCCGACAGTTTCAAGAGGCTCTCGATCAGAAGTCACTCCCGAGCCTCTTCACTACTGGGATCACTCACTTGGTTCCTAAAGATCAAGATACCACAGACCCGAGCAAATACCGCCCCATCACGTGTCTACCGACCATATATAAGACACTGACATTCATTTTGAGCGCGAGAATCACTCGTCAACAGGAGCTAAACCAGGTGATGTCACGCGCTCGAAATGGATGTCGGGGCAGTGGTCGTGGAACTGAGGAACCACTCCTCATTGACGCGGTCATAGGCAAAGTGGTGAAACGCAACCGTCGGAACTTCTCTGCCGCCTGGATAGACTACAGAAAGGCGTTCGACTCGGTGCCCCATACATGGCTAAAGAGGGTCCTCGAGCTGTACAAGATTGACTGTACAGTTAGAGACTTCCTCGAGCAGTGTATGGGGCAGTGGAGTACGATCCTTTGTCATCTGGGCGAGCGGATGACGGCTGCGGAGAACCACATAAGGATAAGAAGTATCTTCCAGGGCGATTGTCTGAGTCCAATCTGGTTCTGCCTCTCTCTTAACCCTCTCAGTACCTTACTGGAGGGCTCCGGGAGGGGGATTTCAGCTACGGAAAGGAATGACAAAAGTGACCCACCTTTTCTATATGGATGACCTCAAGTTATTCGCCTCCAGTCGCTCCCATCTTATGGAACTGCTAAACATCACTTGTGAATTTAGCAGTTCCATTGGAATGGAGCTGGGGACGGATAAGTGTGCGGTCCTCCATGTTGATAGGGGGAAGGTTGCTAACTCTGAGGGCATAGATTTGTCTATGCCCGTCAACTTAATGACACTTTCCGAGGCTGAAACATACCGATACCTGGGTATGTCACAGAACATCGGTATCGATGAGGCTGGTATGAAACAGTCAGTTTGCGACGTGTTTTATGCACGCTTGACCAAAGTGCTTAACAGCCTTTTGTCCGGTGTGAATAAGTCTCACGCATATAACTGCTGGGTCATGCCTGTCCTCATGTATACCTTTGGCATACTCAGGTGGACTCAGACTGAACTTAACGCTCTGGATAGAAAAGTCCGCACTACCATGACGTCCCATAGGATGCATCATCCGAGATCGTCGGTAATGAGGCTGTACCTGCCGCGAAAGTATGGTGGGCATGGCTTTCTGAGCGCGATCACCATGCATAATCGCGAAGTGTGCAGTCTCCGTCAATACTTCTTGGCGAGATCGGATGATCCATTCTATAATGACGTCATTTCTAGTGATAAAGGGCTTATCCCTCTATCCTTAGCCAACGAGTAATGGCAGGACCCAGCAGTGCTTAGCATTTCCGACCGGGAGACCGTATGGAAGGAGAAAGAGTTCCACGGGAGGTACTACAAGGCTCTACATGAGCCCTTCGTAGATACAGTCGTCTCCCTCAACTGGCTACGTTTCGGTGACCACTTCGGGGAAACCGAGGGTTTTGTCTGTGCAATACAGCATCAGGTTATTAAGACCAACAACTATCGGAGATACATCCTAAAGGATGGCACCGTCGACGTCTGTCGAGCTTGTAGCCATCCCGGGGAGTCACTAAGACATGTCATCTCCGGTTGTTCGGCGCTTTCTAACTCTGAGTACTTGCACAGGCACAACCTAGTAGCCAGAATTCTACACCAGGAGCTCGCTCTGAAATACGGTCTCGTGGACCGGAAATTGCCGTATTACAAGTACTTGCCGGAAGCCGTGCTCGAAAATGACCGCGCCAGGCTCTACTGGGACCGGGCCATCATCACAGACAGGACTATTCTTGCGAATAAGCCTGATATTGTGCTGATGGACCGGGCACAGTCAAGAATATTTTTGGTCGATATTACCATCCCGTATGACGAGAACCTCGTGAGAGCCGAAACAGATAAGCAATCAAAATATCTGGACCTGGCTCACGAGGTGACCGAGATGTGGGGTGGTCTGCCGACCGAAATTATTCCTCTCTATTCTCTATATAGTCGTCTCTGCGAATGGGCTAATCCCAGTTAGCCTCTCTGGTCATCTGAGGCGACTGGGACTCCGTGACGGACCGCTCCGGGCTCAAATGCAGAAGGCGGTGCTCCTTGATACTGCCCGCAACGTCCGCCGGTTTACATAATGATTTCAATCATTTAATCATGTCCGCCGGTTTCTTTCCCTTTCACCCTAACCCTTGGCCGTTTGGTCTCCCCTGCCGAGGGCTTCCATCTGGTTGGGCTTTTATTTATTTATGTATTTTCGTATTTATTTTATTTTATTGATATTTATGTATATTTATTTTTTCATTTTCGTTTATAATTATATATTTATACATCCCAACCAGATGAGAAAACTATATAGATACTAAAAAATAATAATAATAATAATAAATTGGCGTAGGGAAGTGACGACCCCATCGCCCGCTGACGTAGTGGTTATATGACAAAACCACTACGTCAGCGCAGTCAGTCAGCACCTTGCCGAGAGTTGTTAGTGCCGTGCCTCGGCAAAAATTAAAGGCGCAAAGGCCCGCTTGTGCACATGGCCCCACCATAAAACGGCGCCGAGTCTGGGCGTCTCCCGTTAAATGACGCCCACTTTTATGGATGATGGAATATGCAAAAACGCTCAAAGGGCCGCTGCCTGGAGGTCGCCAGGGTGCGTCTGGTGCTGGCGCTGGACGCGACAGCATGCGAACCGCCAGCTGAGCGAGAGGTGCTGCACGACCACCCATCAGCCCCTCGCATACATCATCCCCACCAGCTGGCTTGGTGTCGGCAGGGTCTTCGCAGGCCCAGCAATCGGCACCCGCCACTGGTGGAAGTCGCCGCATGCGATGGACAACCGAAATGAATACTAACTTATTGCGGGCGTATTTTAGGGCGAAAGGGGGAGAAGTTGGAGGTTTGGCGTATCGGGCTAGGATGCATCGTCTTTTTGCTGAGCTGGAGCCATCTTTAACCGTCTGAGAGCAAAACCTTGCAGACCGGGTTCGGTATATCTTGCGCTCAAATATATTTGATGTCGCCGAACTCGAACGACTACGACGTGAGGCTGTTCCCTCATCGGATGAAAATGCTACGGCTGAGGATGTGGCGCCACAAATTGCAGAGCAACCCGCAAATGTGAATGCCGCCATGAATACCCCAGTTGTGTTTGATTCAAACGATGATGGAACAGTCGCCCAGGAACCCTAATTATAGCATATGAGGAGTACATTGGAAGAGGCGATTGTGGAAACGCGCAGTACGCCTCTCGAAAATCGACCGCGACTTCCCCGCATAGCCCTAAGCAAGCGGAATTGGCTTGTAGTGAGGGCTCTGAACCCAATGCTGGTGACCTATTTGGAAGCCAGCCGGGACCTTTGCGAGACGGACTCAATTCTTTTTGGCGCCGCACTGGCAGTGTGCCGTATTATAGGCGCCAAACTTTCCACGGCTGGACGCGCTACTGGACAAAGTAGCGCTATCCCAGCCTGGAGAGTAAGATTTGAGGAACGTATTGCAAAGGCTAGGGCCCTCATCGGTAGACTGATATGTTTCAGGTCAGGCAACAACAGGCCAAGGATTGTGCGCACCGTCAGGATGGCATTTGCTGGGACAAATGTTAGTTTGTCCCAGCCGGATATAATGCAAAAACTGACGGAGCACATAGACGACCTGAAGCAGAGAATCGCTGCTTGGGGAAAGCGTATTAGGCGATATACCGAGAAGTCGACACGGTTTAACCAGAATCGTCTCTTCCAGAGTAATCAGAAGAGGCTCTATAAATCGTTGGAGCGACCAATGGTAAGTGGAACGGGCCCAGCACCGAATCAGGTCGACACTGTAGCATTCTGGCGCGGCCTGTGGTCGGAGCCCATAAACCACAGCGAGGGCCCTTGGACGGAAGTTGTGGCGAGTCAGTGTGCGAGTATAACGCCCATGGACCCCGTCATTATAACGCCGGATGACGTAGCTGAGGCAGTCCGTAGGGCCCCGAACTGGAAAAGTCCGGGACTCGACGGGCTGCATCACTACTGGCTGAAGGGGTTTGTGGTGTGTCACACTGTGCTCGCCCGACAGTTCCAAGAGGCTCTCAACCAGAAGTCGCTCCCGAGCCTCTTCACTACTGGGATCACTCATTTGGTTCCTAAAGACCAGGTTACCACAGACTCGAGCAAATACCGCCCCATCACGTGTCTGCCGGCCATATACAAGACACTAACATCCATTTTGAGCGCGAGAATCACTCGTCACCTTCACTCACATCAGGTGATGTCGCGCACTCAAAATGGATGTCAGGGCGGCGCTCGTGGAACCAAGGAACCACTCCTCATTGCCGCAGTCATTGGCAAAGTGGTGAAACGCAACCGTCGGAACATCTCCGCCGCCTGGATAGACTACAGGAAGGCATTTGACTCGGTGCCCCATACATGGCTAAAGAGGATCCTCGAGCTGTACAAGATTGACTGTATAGTTCGAGACTTCCTCGAGCGGTGTATGGGGCAGTGGAGTACGATCGTCTGTAATCTAGGCGAGCGGATGACGGCTGCGGAAAGCAGCATAATGATAAGAAGGGGTATATTCCAGGGCGACTGTCTGAGTCCAATCTGGTTCTGCCTCTCTTTGAACCCTCTCAGTACTTTACTGGAGGGTTCCGGGAGGGGATTTCAGCTTCGGAAAGGAGGTACAAAAGTGATCCACCTCTTCTATATGGATGACCTCAAATTATTCGCCTCCAGTCGCTCCCATCTTGTGGAATTGCTAAAAATCACTTGTGAGTTTAGCAGTTCCATTGGAATGGAGCTGGGGACGGATAAGTGTGCGGTCCTCCATGTTGAGAGGGGAAGGGTTGCTAACTCTGAGGGCATAGATTTATCTATGCCCGTCAACTTAAGCACCCTTTCCGAGGCTGAAACATACCGATACCTGGGTATGTCACAGAACATCGGTATCGATGAGGCTGGTGTGAAACAGTCAGTTTGCGACGTGTTTTATGCATGCTTGACCAAAGTGCTTAACAGCCTTTTGTCCGGTGTGAATAAGACACAAGCACATAACGGTTGGGTCATGCCTGTCCTTATGTATACCTTTGGCATACTCAGGTGGACTCAGACTGAACTTAACGCCCTGGATAGAAAAGTCCGCACTACCATGACGTCCCATAGGATGCATCATCCGAGATCGTCGGTAATGAGGCTGTACTTGCCGCGAAAGCATGGTGGGCGTGGATTTCTGAGCGCGTTCACTATGCATAATCGTGAAGTGTGCAGCCTCCGTCATTACTTCCTGGCGAGATCGGATAATCCATTCTATAATGACGTCATTTATAGTGATAAAGGGCTTACCCCTCTATCCTTGGCCAACGAGCAATGGCAGGTCCCAGCAGTGCTTAGCATTTCCGACCGGGAGACCGTATGGAAGGAGAAGGAGCTCCACGGGAGGTACTACAGGGCTCTACATGAGCCCTTCGTAGATACAGTCGCCTCCCCTCAACTGGCTACGTTTCGGTGACCTCTTCGGGGAAACCGAGGGTTTTGTCTGTGCAATACAGGATCAGGTTATTAAGACCAACAACTATCGGAGATACATCCTAAAGGATGGCACCGTCGACGTCTGTCGAGCTTGTCGCCATCCCGGGGAGTCACTTAGGCATGTCATCTCCGGTTGTTCGGCGCTTTCTAACTCTGACAACTTGCACAGGCACAACCTAGTAGCCAGTATTCTACACCAGGAGCTCGCTCTGAAATACGGTCTCGTGGACCGGAAATTGCCGTATTACAAGTACTTGCCGGAAGCCGTGCTCGAAAATGACCGCGTCAGGCACTACTGGGACCGGGCCATCATCACAGACACGACTATTCTTGCAAATAAACCTGATATTGTGCTGATGGACCGAGCACAGACAAGGATATTTTTGGTCGACATTACCATTCCGTAGGACGAGAACCATTTATTTGTGTATTTTTTGTATTTATTTTATTTTATTGATATTTATGTATATTTATCTTTTCATTTTAATTTATAATTATATATTTATAGAACCCAACCAGATGAGAAAACTATATAGATACCCCATAATAATAATAATAATTTTATTATTATTAATAATAATATTGTCTTATATATAGTGGGTAGACATGTGATGGGGTTGTATTTGCTCGGGTCTGTGGTATCCTCATCTTTGGGAACCAAGTGAGTGATCCCAGTAGTGAAGAGGCTCGGGAGCGACTTCTGATCGAGAGCCTCTTGATACAGTCGGGCTAGCACAGCGTGACACACTACGAACCCCTTCAGTCAGTAATGATGCAGCCCGTCAAGCCCCGGACTTGGCCAGTTCGGGGCCCCACGGACTTCAGACGGTCTTCAGGCGTTATGGTGACGGGGTCCATAAGCGTAACACTTGCACTCTGGCTCGCCACAACTTCCATCCAAGGGCCCTCGCTGTGGTTTACGGGCTCTGACCAATGGCCACGCCAAAATGCGACAGTGTCAGCTTGATTCGGTCCTGGGCCCGCTCCACATAACTCTGGTCGCTCCAATGATTTATAGAGCCTCTTCTGATCACTCTGGAAGAGACGATTCTGGTTGAACCGTCTTGAACTCTCGCTAAATCGTCGAATCCGCTTCCCCCAAGCAGCGATTTTTTGCTTCAGGTCTTCTATGCGTTATTAGTTTCAGCGTGATATCAGGCTGGGACAAACTAATATTTGTCCCAGCAAACGCCATTCTAACGGTGCGCACAACTCTCGGTCTATTATTACCCGACCTGAAGTTTGTCAGTCTGCCGATAAAGGCCCTTATCTTTGCGATACGGTTCTCGATTCTTTTTCTCCAGACTGGGATGGCACTACCTTGTTGAGTAGCACGTCCAGCTATGGAAGTTTGGCGCCAATAATACGGCATACTGCCAGTGCGGCGCCAAAAAAATTGAGTCCGTCTCGCAAAGGTCCCGGCTTGCTTCCAAATAGGTCACCAGCATTGGGTTAAGAGCTCGCACGACAGCCCGATTTCGCTTGCTAAGGGGTATGCGGGGAATTCGCGATCGATTTTCGAGAGGCATGCTGCGCGTTTCCAGCATCGACTCTTCCAATATGCTCCTCATTTTCTCTAGTTCGTGGGGGACTATTCCATCATCGTCTGAATCAACCACAAATGGAATATTGACGGCAGCGTCCACATTTGCAGTTTGCTGCGCAATTAGTGGCGCCGCATTCCCAGCCGTAGCATTTCCATCCAATGAGGGAACAGCCTCACGTCGTAGTCGTTCGAGTTCGGCGTCACCAAACATGTTGGAGCTCAGGGTGTACCGAACTCGGTCTGCCAGGTTTTGCTCAGTGACGGATAGAGATTGCTCCAGCTCTGCAAAAAAGCGATGCATCCGAGCCCGATATGCCAAACATCCGGTTTCTTCCCCTTTTGCCCTAAAGTACGCCCGCAGTGCGTTTCCGTTCATTGTTTGTGACCAACGCATGCGACGTGTTTCACCAGCGGAGGGTGCCGCTTGCTGAGTCCGAGAAGACCCAGCCGACACCAAGCCTTCTGGTGGGGATGATGGATGTGGAGGGCTGCTAGGTGATCGTACAGCTCCTCGCGCTCCGCATGCTGCCGCGTCCAGCGCCAGCTGCAGACGCGCCCCGGCGACCCCCAAGCAGCGGCCCTATGCGCGTTTCTCTTTGTACCATCATCCATTTATGGGCGCCAAATAACGGGAGACGCCTAAGCCCGGCACCGTTTCGTGGTTCGGTCATATGCACAAACGGACCTTTGCACCCACAATTTTGCCTAGGCACGGCGCTCACACCTCTTGGCAGGGCGCTGACTGACTGCGCCGACGTAGTAGTTTTGTCACATAACTGTAACGTCAGCGGGCGATGGGGTCGTCACTTCCCTACGCCATTATTTTACGCCATTATTATACACTGACATCCATTTTGAGCGCTACAATCACTCGTCACCTGGAGCTAAATCAGGTGATGCTCGCGCTCAAAATGGATGTTGGGGCGGTGGTCGTGGAACCAAGGAACCACTCCTGATTGACGCGGTCATTGGCAAAGTGGTGAAACGCAACCGTCGGAACTTCTCCGCCGCCTGGATAGACTACAGAAAAGCATACGACTCGGTGCCCCATACATGGCTAAAGAGGGTCCTCGAGCTGTACAAGATTGACTGTACAGTTAGAGACTTCCTCGAGCAGTGTATGGGGCAGTGGAGTACGATCCTTTGTCATCTGGGCGAGCGGATGACGGCTGCGGAGAACCACATAAGGATAAGAAGGGGTATCTTCCAGGGCGATTGTCTGAGTCCAATCTGATTCTGCCTCTCTCTTAACCCTCTCAGTACCTTACTGGAGGGCTCCGGGAGGGGATTTCAGCTACGGAAAGGAGGGACAAAAGTGACCCACCTTTTTCTATATGGATGACCTTAAGTTATTCGCCTCCAGTCGCTCCCATCTTGTGGAACTGCTAAACATCACTTGTGAATTTAGCAGTTCCATTGGAATGGAGCTGGGGACGGATAAGTGTGCGGTCCTTCATGTTGAAAGGGGAAGGGTTGCTAACTCTGAGGGCATAGGTTTATCTATACCCGTCAACTTAAAGATCCTTTCCGAGGCTGAAACATACCGATACCTGGGTATGTCACAGAACATCGGTGTTGATGAGGCTGGTATGAAACAGTCAGTTTGCGACGTGTTTTGTGCACGCTTGACCAAAGTGCCTAACAGCCTTTTGTCCGGTGTGAATAAGCCACACGCATATAACGGTTGGGTCATGCCTGTCCTCATATATACCTTTGGCATACTCAGGTGGTCTCAGACCGAACTTAAGGCCTTGGATAGAAAAGTCCGCACTACCATGACGTCCCATAGGATGCATCATCCGAGATCGTCGGTAATGAGGCTGTACTTGCCGCGAAAGCATGGTGGGCGTGGTTTTCTGAGCGCGCTCACCATGCATAATCGCGAAGTGTGCAGCCTCCGTGATTACTTCCTGGCGAAATCGGATGATCCATTCTATAATGACGTCATTTCTAGTGATAAAGGGCTTAGCATTTCCGACCGGGAGACCGTATGGAAGGAGAAGGAGCTCCACGGGAGGTACTACAGGGCTCTTCATGAGCCCTTCGTAGATACAGTCGCCTCCCTCAACTGGCTACGTTTCGGTGACCTCTTCGGGGAAACCGAGGGTTTTGTCTGTGCAATACAGGATCAGGTTATTAAGACCAACAACTATCGGAAATACATCCTAAAGGATGGCACCGTCGACGTCTGTCGAGCTTGTCGCCATCCCGGTGAGTCACGTAGGCATGTCATCTCCGGTTGTTCGGCGCTTTCTAACTCTGACAACTTGCACAGGCACAACCTAGTAGCCAGAATTCTACACCAGGAGCTCGCTCTGAAATACGGTCTCGTGGACCGGAAATTGCCGTATTACAAGTACTTGCTGGAAGCCGTGCTCGAAAATGACCGCGCCAGGCTCTACTGGGACCAGGCCATCATCACAGACAGGACTATTCTTGCGAATATGCCTTGCTAAAAAAAACCTTGCTAATAATAAATATTGTGCTGATGGACCGGGCACAGTCAAGGATATTTTTGGTCGATATTACCATCCCGTATGACGAGAACCTCGTGAAAGCCGAAACAGATAAGTAATGAAAATATCTGGACCTGGCTCACGAGGTGACCGACATGTGGGGTGGTTGGCCGACCGAAATTATTTCTGTAATCGTCTCTGCGAATGGGCTAATCCCAGTCAGCCTCTCGGGTCATATGAGGCGACTGGGACTCCGTGACGGACCGCTCCGGGCTCAAATGCAGAAGGTGGGGTGCTCCTTGATACTGCCCACATCGTCCGCCGGTTTCTTTCCCTTTCCCATAAACACTTGGCCGTTTGGTCTCCCCTGCCGAGGGCTTCCATCTGGTTGGGCTTTTATTTATTTATGTATTTTTTGTATTTATTTTATTGATATTTATGTATATTTATCTTTTCATTTTCATTTATAATTATATATTTATACATCCCAACCAGATGAGAAAACTATATAGATACCCCACATAATAATAATAATAATCATTTATTGACAGACAACAAAGGCCCGTAAAAAAGAAACATAATTACTTATAATCAACAAACATAAAAAATTTAAATAAAATGATATACAAAAATAAATATAAATTAAATAAATGCTATCAAACAAATTAAAACTTACATCATAACATACTAGACCAATATTTAAATATTTCACTACAATTTTGCGTTAAAATTAGTATAATCGTGTTTCCACATTTGAGAAGATTACTTCTAAATCTGGCCACACGATGTCTTATCAAAGCATCGAGCGTCGGTACGCGTGCCTCAGCGAACATTGTAGATGCACTACAGTACCTCGGAAAACGAAACAACATTCGGAGCGAATCGTTATATTGAACCTTAAAAATTCGATAGTTTTCCTTTTTAAATTTAGTCCAGATATGTGGCGTGTAAAGCGATTGGCAATAGGTTTTAAATAGTAATATTTTAGCATCTCGCTCGCACTTATTAAATTTTCTGCCAATCATATTAGCACGTACAGCAAGGAACCGCCTTTCTCTGGCCATGTCCTGATCATCCCTCAGGTCACTCGATACGATATGTCCTAAATATCGAAAGCTCGTCACAAACTTCAAATTTTTGCCGTTCAGGTATAATGGTAAACAAACATCTTTACTATGCTCTCCAAAGACCATTGCCACTGATTTGTCTGCATTATAAACTAAGTCGTGGCTTGCTGCGTATTTCTCACAAATGTAAATAACTTCCTTAAGGCTCCGATCGAGGGGCTCAATAAAACCATATCGTCTGCGTAACTAAGGTTGTTTACACATTTCCAACCTACATGACAGATACCCGTTTCATTGATCTCCTCAATTAGAGCGTTAACGTAAAGGTTAAACAGCAGAGGAGAAGTCAGCCCACCCTTCCTAACCCCATTAGTCAGTACAAACTCGTCCGAAAGCGATCCATCCCAGTTCACTACATTAACCTGCGTATTATACCAATTAATAAGGATTTTAATTATGTCGGAACGAACACCCACCAGTTTTAACTTATCCCACAGGATGCTATAGTTTACCCTATCGAAGGCGCGACTCAAGTCCAAAAAACAAGCGTATACTTTTGTTCTTAGTGACACTTAATACGTTACTATTTGTTTCAAGGAAAAAATTGCCAACTCAGTAGAGCTACCTTTTTAAAACCAAACTGAGCATCACTTATAAAAATAAATTTCTATAAAATATCTAGAATAATAGACTCAAATAGTTTCGCACAGGTTGTAGCGATTGAGATAGGCCTATAATTGGAACTGATCGTATCGCTAACGGTTTTACTTTTGACAATAGGTGTAACCACCCATTTTATTAGGTCAGGGGGCAAAAATGAGTGTTTTAAACACGCGTTAATAAAAACCGAGAGAAACACCACAACCCAGGGTCCATCGCAACGTAAATGTTCTACCGAAATGTGGTCATGACCACACGCTTTAGCAAGATAGGACCTGCATATCAGAAGAATAAAATATGTTAAGGGAATATTATTGCGGCGATATCCGATAATTCGCCCTTATATTATAATTCTTAGGGCTATTTATAGCGTATATGAAAATTTCGTGAATCAAGGAAGTGACACAACATCACAATTTAAAAATGTATTTATTGCTTTTCGAAGTATTCTCCGCGACATTTGACACATTTTTCCATACGATGGAACCAATCATTGAAGAAACCATTCCATTCGGAAATGGCCATCTCCAAAATGGCCGTTTTGTAGGCGTCCACAGCTTCTTCAGGTGATGAAAATCTCTGTCCACGCAATTTATTCTTTATTTTAGGGAAAGTATAGAAATCATTAGGGCTTAGGTCGGGGCTGTACGGCGGATGGTCTAGTAATTCTATGTTTTCTTGCTCTAAAAACTTTTTTGTTCTGTGTGCGGTGTGAGAACTCGCATTGTCGTGATGGAGGATGATGCGGCGGTTGCAGTTCTCTTTACGGAGTTCAGAAACGACCTGTGGCAAACAAAAATGCTAGCATACCATTCTGCATTAACCGTTCTTTGTCCCTCAAGAGGAATATTTGTAACATGGCCGGTTTTGGAGACAAACGTGGCCACCATATTTTTTGCAACACTCCGTGAACGAACAATTTTTGTTGGCTTTAACTCATTTACAAACACCCAAACTCGTGACTGGTTTTTTATTTCGGGTTCGTACGCGTATATCCAGGATTCGTCACCTGATACGATGTTGTATACAGCATTTGAGGATCCTGCGTGGAATCTTTCGAGAGTTCTGACGCACCAAGTAACGCGAGCCGCTTTTTGCTCTTCACAGAGCGAATGCGGTATTCATCGGGAAAACAACTTTTTTTTTACACCTAATTGTTCATGCAAGATTATTAGTATTTGACTCATGCCAATGTCTAAAGTTGCCTGAAT